ACACATATATATATATATTGTATATAAATATCTAAAAAATAAAATACAATATATAATATACAATATAAAATATACAACTATAAAATATAACATTAATATATAATATATAATATATAACATATAATATAATATATATATATATTATTTATACACAATTATAACCAGCAAATGTATGGGGATGTCATGGGGATTCTATGGTCAACAATTATTTGGTCATCCCTCCCCGTTGTTTCGTCGTTTCGTCCAGGCTGGCGCACGAGGCCGCGGCCCTCTCGGCGCAGCTGAGCGTCGGCAACGCCTCGCTGACCGCGCTGCTTGCGCAGCACGGACAGACGCAGCAGCTGGCCTTGGAGACGCGGGCGCGGGAGATGCTTGGCGCGGTGCGAAAACAGGGGTCAAACATGGAGTAAGAATTGTTCATGTTAATGTTAATAGATGTTAATAGATGTTAATAGATGTTAATAGATGTTAATAGATGTTAATAGATGTTAATAGTCTTTAATAGTAATATATAATAATAGTAATGAAAACAATATTAATAATAATGATAATGAATGGTAATGAGTTAGTATCTAATGTTCATTGTTCGTTATCATGGTAGTTAATTTGAACAGTTATAATTAGCGTTCATAGTTAGAATACTTAGTGTTATATAATGTGAATGGCTGTGAATTATAGTAATTATAAACAATAATACAATAGCGTAGTTAGTTATGAAATTAAATCATGATAACCACATATATGATTGCTTAAACAAATAACAGTTACTTTTTGTAATAGTAATCTATTGGGTCAACAGTTAATGTTAGTAGTTTTAGTTAGTGAATGTTAGTTATGATTATGTTAACTAACTATAGTAATTGTATGTAATTGTCAACATCATAGAACTGATCGACATTAAGTATAATTGGGTCAATAGTTAGTGTTCATAATCAAAAAAAGGTTTTAATTAATAATCGCACATAATCTTAAATTTAGTGGTGATATTAGTGGTGATATCATTGGGAAACAATTGCTGGGAATATACCAATCCACATGATTTTGTTTTTTGGGCAAGTATATATATATTATATTACATTATGAGCACAAGAAAAATAGGGTTACGACAATGAGTAGTTAGATAAAATTATGTTTAAAGTATCGTGATAGTGATTGCTTCTGGGAATGGCATGGCGGCTCACCAACAACAGTAATAAGCCCAAGTGCATCCCCAAGTATGGTTATAGTGGGGATATTTTATGGAGCTACAATGGGATTTTATGGAGCCTTTTTGATGGGTCAAAGCGGAGATTTTTAACATCGGGATGTCATGGGTTTTTTACTGTTTCATAGAAACCAAATGTGGATTGCTGGGTATATAATGAGGATACAATGGGATATCATTCTGGGGTCCCATGATATGGTAATCTCCATGGTGGGTCCCGTTTAATCCCCAGGCTTCACCTCAAGCTGGGATGTTCAGGACCAGCACCTTAAATGTTGCACCTCATGCCCTAAGTCCTACACATTCAGTTCAAATGGGAATGGGCCAAGACCGAGGAAATAACATGTTTTCGGGGATGAAGATCCATGATTTTACATTTTTAATACCAGCTCCCCGTTTTCAGACATCAACTTTGGCACATTAAATCCCCGTGTTTCCAGATAAGTCGTCCCAGTAGTGTGATTGGTTTGATCTCCATGTTTTTGAGTTGAATATGGTGAAACATCGCCCATGTTTATTGGTTAAATCATTTTAAATCCTAATGAACACGTCGGTGAAATCCCCATTGAAACTGGGTGAAATCCACCTTTTCGAAACGGTGAAATCTTTAAACACCAATTTTTCACGGGTGAACATCACACTACTTTAAGGATCATGTTCGAAAGATTCAATACGAATCCATTTTTTCATGGATCGTTCCGAGTTCCAGGTTTTTACCCTATCCTAGTTTTTCCAGCCCCTTTTTATTATTACCCTCTGGTAAACGTTAACATGACAATGGAAAGATCCACCATTTTCAATGGGAAAATCCACCATTTCTATGGTCCATTTTCAATACTAAAGGCTCATTTTGATGCTTGGACCATGTTGGACCCAATTTTTGGGTCCAGCACCGGCCCAGGATCACTGGTGAGATCGTGAAAGTCTCCGACGAGCTGGACAAGTCGCTTGGTCGCCATCGCTGGGCGATGACAGGTGAGTTTTGTTTCCTTGTGGTGCTATGACAAATGGTCAATCATATGGTGGTTAATGGTGGTTAATGGTTAATCACATGGTTAGTCATTTGGTGACAAAAGTTGTAACTTTTCAGTTTTTTTTGAATCAAGAAACTTTTCAGCTTGGTGAATCATGATCATTTAATATCATTTATCCAGATCAGTGTATGCTAAAAATGTTCCCCCTGTAAATGGAGGTTACCTAGCTGGGAAAAAACAAGTATCAATGGGGGGATTTTCCAGCAAGCCAAACCCGATTACTCCTTTTGAAAACTTGGGATTCCACCAATCAAGAGGTATTTTCTACGGGGTATTGAAACCACAGACCAGTTATAGAGGTGTGGAATCAAGCATTACTATAGATTATTCGATTCTGCAGAGATTCAGATATTTCTAAAAGATTCTACAAGCAAAAATGGGATGTAGTGGCAAATTCTTGAAACTGAATATGGTGGTAGAAGGGTTTCGCCAAGAAGATTTGGATAGCCACGAAGCCGAGGATGAACGGCGAAATCCTGAAACTGATCGACGACGAATCGGACAAGGCCGCTGGGTGTTTGATGGCCTCCAAAGCCAAATCAACATGGTATGCCCCATGTTACTTCGCATTTAGTTGCTGTAGATTTCCCTTTTCTGGATTGACAAGTGGGCCCGATCATCCAGCTGCGAAAACCAGTGGTTTGGTGGGGTATGTCTAAAGTCAGATCAGGTTTTAGTTTGAAATGAAGATAATGAAGCAACATAATCATATCATCACAATGATATCATAATGATCACTCTTAAAGTCAACGTTCCGGGGCGTCATCCACAAGGTCAGCCGTCTCTGATCAGCGAGGTGAAAGAGAAGCATTTGGCCATGGAG